AAACCCTAATTAAACCCTAAACCCTAAACCCTAAACCCTAAACCCTAAACCCTAAACCCTAAACCCTAAACCCTAAACCCTAAACCCTAAACCCTAAACCCTAAACCCTAAACCCCAAAGACCACGAGGCTACGTGATCTGCACCTCGACTTCCCCAGCATCAACCCGCGCTGCAGCTCCAAGCCGCACCGGTACATGTACTGTGCCGGAAGCCCCTGACTCCAGGATTTAGGGTTTAGGGTTTAGGGTTTAGGGCATGGGGTTTAGGGCATAGGGCTTAGGGCTTAGAGTTTAGGGTTTAGGTACTACTTGTAAACGTTGCGACCGCCTCGTGCACTCCTGAAGCAACCCACATTCCAGAGGAAGGTCTGCAAAAGTGCCCCCCTCTACCGTGAGTCAGGGAGCTTTCATAGAGCGAGCATCGCACTCTGCCATCGGAGCAGCTTTGAGTGTGCTTGGCTCTATTCCACTGCTTGATGCAAGGGCTTATGCTCTTGCATGTCTTCCTTCGTTTGTCTTTTAAGTTTTGTGACACCTCTTCAAGAATTTGGGATTAGCGTTTTTGCGGGTCAGGGGTTAAAGGTTTCGCCCAAGCCTTGGGCTCAGTTATTTCGTTTTTCCACCTGCGAAACTTTGTAGTGCAAACATGCAACTTCGCTTTTTAAATTACCTGTCGTCTCGCGAAGGGCTCCCAAGAAGAGGTGCTATAGGGATCCCCCATTTAAAATCCCCCCCCCCACCCACCCCCCCCAGACACCCCGTCCCCGATCCCCTCCCCCCCCCCACCCCCCCTCACCACCGCCACCGCGTGACCCTTGCGCGCCCGCAGCCTCCCCTTCCGACGCCCACCGCGGCTGGAACCGAGGGTAACATCGGCGCCGATTGTTTGGTTGGGCAGAATGAATAGTCTGGGTAGATGCGGGCCTACTTACATAGGCATCATGAGAGGGTCATCTAGGTAGTTGTTGCTTCAATAGCGCGAACCTTGAATTTGGGGTTCAGGCTTCAGGAGTTTCAGAATTTTGTTTAGGTTAAAGTTTTTTTTTGTCGGGTCTTTGTCAGTTGTGCGGGCGGAAGACACCTGGGACGAGGGCCTCGAATTCAGAAGCCTTGGATTTCGACCCCGAAGCCCGAGCCTCTTTGCATATCCGGCCTACGCCAAGAGCCCTTTCATAGCAGTAGAGGTAAGCTTTAACCTTTTTGGGTTAATATCATCCCCTTATAGTCCCAAAGGTTAACCTTTAGTTCCCCCAGGTTACTGGACAACTAAGCTTTGTATTCCACACCTTAAACCACGACTTGTCCACATAGCACCCTCGAAGTTGTGAAGTTGGCTTTGCATACAGGGGTTTAGGGTTTCGGGTTTAGGGTTTAGGGTTTAGGGTTTAGGGTTTAGGGTTTAGGGTTTGTTTTTGTTTCAAGTTTTGTTTAGATCTAGGGGTTGCCGTCACGAAATCCCAGATACAAAGCACCTCTTAAAACCCTCAGTCATGATCGGGTCCTCAAAAGGGAAGGTTCGAAGTTTTGGGGTGCTAAACCCCTAAACCCCTAAACCCCTAAACCCCGAATCCCCTAATCCCCTAAGCCCCTAAACCCCCTAAACACCCAAACCCCTAAACCCCCAAACCCCCAAACCATAAACCCTGAACCCTAAACCCTAAACCCAAAACCCTAAACCCTAAACCCTAAACATGTCCGAGACCCGGAGCGGCCTGGACGACAAAGCCGGCCCGCTGCAGGGGCTGGTGAAGGCGGGCTCCGGCCGACTCACCTTAGCCCATAGGGTTTAGGGTTTAGGTTTAGGGTTTAGGTTTGGGGTTTAGGGTTTAGGGTTTGGGGTTTAGGGTTTAGGGTTTGGGGTTTAGGGTTGGGGGTTTAAGGGATTTAAGGGTTTAGGGGTTTAGGGGTTTAGGGGTTTAGGGGTTTACGGGTTTACGGGTTTAGGGGTTTAGGGGTTTAGGGGTCTCGGGGTTACGGGGTTTAGGGGTTTAGGGGTTTAGGGGTTTAGGGTTTAGGGGTTTAGGGGTTTAGGGGTTTAGGGGTTTAGGGGTTTAGGGGTTTAGGGGTTTAGAGTTTAGGGTTTATTGATAAATCAAGCTTGGCATGTTCCCCCTCATACTGAGAGCCCTTCATAGGGAAGATAGTACCTGTATTATAATCTATAGTCCCTATTAAGAGGAACATCCCAACGTAAACCTCTTAAACTCCTGAAGTCTGTTAAAGCCTCCCAAACCCTTGAACCCTAAATCTTTGTCAACTCCCCCAACCCCCAATCCTGGAGTGCTTTGGCCAGGTTGGTAGGGCTTTGTTTTGTTTATTATGGGTTTAGGGTTTAGGGTTTAGGGTTTAGGGTTTAGGGTTTAGGGTTTAGGGTTTAGGGTTTAGGGGTTTAGGCTTTAGTTCGCCTCTGGACCCCAAAGCCTTCAGCACCGGACCCCAAAGCAATCACAAGAAACACACTCTGCGCCCATTGTCGGTGAAGGCTCGAAAGCTCAACCCTAAACCCTAAACCCTAAACCCTAAACCCTAAACCCTAAACCCTAAACCCTAAACCTTAAACCCTAAACCCCAAACCCTAAACCCTGTACCCTGCACCCTAAACCCTAAAACCTAAACCCCTACTCCCTACTCCCCTAAACCCTAAACCCCTTTTCGAGAGCCCTGTTCGGCCCAGGTTGATGTGCAGGACCTCGCCAAGGAGGACGTGTGGTTGCCATTGCCCCAAAGGGAGCTTTTGGCTTGAAGTTCTGATTGGGGTTGAGGGTTGAGGGTTAGGGTTTAGGGTTTAGGGTTTAGGGTTTAGGGTTTAGGGTTTAGGGTTTAGGGTTTAGGGTTTAGGGTTTAGGGTTTAGGGTTTAGGGTTTAGGGTACAGGTCAGCTTGGAAAAGAAGGCTGTGCGCATATTAGGTGTTCGTGGAGAGCTTGCAATACATTCCCGCACGACCGGTCACCTTCCGACCTCTCTCAGACGCCATGTGGACCGATTAGACATGGTCATTTTTGTCAATGGTTTACCTTTTCTGCATAAATGGGTGTTCAACCAGAACCCAAAACCCCAAAAAACAAAACCCCAACACCCCCACAACGCCCAAAACCCCCAAAACCCCAAAACTCCCCAGCCCAAAAACCCCAAAACCCAAAACTCCCCAAAACCCCACGCACAAAACCCCCAAAACCCCAAAATCCCAAAGCCGCAAAGCCCCAGGACCCAAAACTCCCTCCCTCCCAAACCCCATAAAACCCAAAACCCAAAACCCTAAACCTCAAGACTAAGGGCTTCCCTAAACCCTAGCCCTGAACCCTAAACCCTAAACCCTAAACCCTAAACCCTAAACCCTAAACCCTAAACCCTAAACCCTAAACCCTAAACCCCAAACCCTAAACCCCTTAGTTTACTGGCATCTGGCCTCCCAGGCCAGAGCCCCACGAATTCCTTGGTGAGGTGGGGCCTCCGAGTTTTCTTGGGGCGGTTTAGGGTTGAGGTAAACCCTAAACCCTAAACCCTAAACCCTAAACCCTAAACCCTAAACCCTAAACCCTAAACCCTAAACCTTAAACTCTAAACCCCAAACCCTGAACCCTAAACCCTAAACCCTGAACCCTAAACCCTAAACCGTTGGTCAGGGCTTTTGGGCCTTAGGGTCGGTTCTATGCCGAAGGATTCAGCAGGTCTTGTTGGAGGGGTTGAGGGCAATTGCGGCAGGGAGTTAGGGTTCAGGGTTTGGGGTTTAGGGTTTAGGGTTAGGGTTTAGGGTTTAGGGTTTGGGGTTTAGGGTTTAGGGTTTAGGGTTTGGAGTCAGGGTTTAGGGCTCCTTAAGCTTACTCCCTTATTTAACCCCAAGTAGTGAGGAGTATGAGGGAACCTTGGGTTCCATACCCCCCTTGAACCCACCTTTAGAACCCTATAGATCTATTAGGCCCTCAGGCTTTAGGTTTTCCTAAACTTAAGGGGCATGAGGAGGGACCCATAGAAGGGACCCTGAATCTTGTGCTTGTGTAGTCCCTATATACCTAAGTAGCCCTATAAATAATCCCCAAATAAGCCCTAAGGCCCCTTGTAAGGGCCCCTCCTTTAGTCCCTTGAGTCAGGCGCGGGCAGGTTCCATGGATAACGTCTAGGAGTTTTCGCCTTCATGTAGTTCGGGCCCTAGACCCCTAAAGCCGAGACACTAAGCCCACCAGTTGAAGCGGCAGCATTTAAGGTTTAGGGTTTAGGGTTCAGGGCTCAGGGTTCAGGGTTTAGGGTTTAGGGCTTAAGGTTTGTGTGGCTGTGAGTGTCCTGGCACGACAGTGTGCAGGCAGTCCTACCTACCCTGCTCCGAAGCAAGTCGCGGAGGGACGCCTAGAAGGGACCCTTAATCTTATTCCCCTTTATACCCCTATAGGGTTTAGGGTTTAGGGTTTAGGGTTTAGGGTTTAGGGTTTAGGGTTTAGGGTCTAGGTTATGTGCCTTATAGAACCCCCCATAAAAAGGCCTCATATATAGCCCTTATATGCCTAAGTAGCCCAAAAAAGACTAAATGTCGACCAGGATCCGCCACAAGTTTGCAAGCCCAAGTCCATGGCCGCACGCCTAGACCCTCAAGCCCTAAGCCCTAAACCCTAAACCCTAAACCCTAAACCCTAAACCCTAAACCCTAAACCCTAAACCCTAAACCCTAAACCCTAAACCCTAAACCCTTGAAACCCTAGAACTCCAAAGCCCTACAAGCCCTAAACCCCACATCCCGCGAAGCCCTAGAATTTCCGGAAATAAAACCCCCAAGCCCTAGAACCCTAAACCCTAAGCCCTAAAACCCTCAAACCCTACAACCCTTTGAGCCCGAAAAACCCAAACCCTAAACAATCCTAAACCCTACAACAGTTTAACCCTAAACCCCAAAGCCCTTGAACCCTAAACCCGAAACCCTAAACCCTAAACCCTAAACCCTAAACCCTAAACCCTAAACCTTTAACTGGGTAAGAGGGAGGCAAGGGCCAGCCAGAAGCAGCACCTCACCTCAGAATGAAGTCCCATCAATGTCTGAGTCTTCTAAGCCACCTGAACAGGCGCTGTCGTTCCTGTGTCGACAGGCTATGGTGCTCGCTGCACACTTCCTGCGGTGGGGTGAATACTGGGCCTGTGTACTCTGTACAAGAGGCCAGCAGAGGGGAAACTCCGCCATCATGTAGAACCTCACTTAGGAGATCCCAAACACCATCAAGCTGTCCAAGAACCGGTCTTTGCTGGAGTCCATGCCGAGGCGCTTGCACGCCTGCAGTTCGTAAGCTGTATACCTTCCGTCTGCGGTCAGGTAACAGCCGACAACCACTAACAGTCTCCAGGGAACGAGCTGCCGTAAGGATCGCCGCCGTCCACTCCCGTAGTGGGACCAGCATGGGCATGTCAGTGTGTCGTGCGTCCAAGTACTCACCAGCGTGTTCCGGGCGAGGGTCACGAGCTGGTGGGCAAACGCCTGTAGAGGCGACAAAGTGCACCAGCAACTCAACGTTGGTAACGCCATTGCACACGCCCTTGTGGGCACCAGGCAACTCCCATCGTAGTCGCCGTAGCCATTGCCACAAAGGGAAGGTAAACCATGGAGGCCACGGACAGGCGACCAGCCAATCGTTCTGCAGCGTCTTCGTGGTCCAGAGGTAGCCTGGCTTGGGGTCAAGCTCCCGCCAAGCTTCCGCCGGCGAAGTGGCCTCGTCCAGGTTCTTCCTAAGGACCGGCTCCAAGGAAACTGCAGTGTCACCTTTAGCTCGCAACAGTCGGCTCGCCTCTGCCGACACCGCCAGCATGTAACGGGCCGCTACAAGCATGCAGTCGCGCTGCGTCGTAGTGAACTCAAAGACCTGATCAACGATCTCCGTGACGATGCTCAGGTCCGCCTTGACCGCCTCCTTAGCGGCAGTATCCGCGTAGTCATTGCCCAATGCCATTAGTAGGTCTCGGCCAGCGAGGCAAGTCATGTCCTGATGTGAAGCGACCTTGGTAAGCTTGAAGTAAGGGCGCCAACAGGCCTGCATTTCCTTCGCCAGTTCAGGAAAAGAACCCAAAGCACCCTGAACCACAACGTGCGCATTCCTAAGAGCAACCTTGCTGTCAGAAACGATCTCAACATCATCATGGGGGCACTGCGCTGCGAAACGACAAGCCTGGAGGATGGCATATGCCTCCGCCTTATTTATCCCTTGGGACCCTGGTGTCAGGCCTTGGCACACCACACAGAAGAGGTTGCTGTGGCATCCTGTGGCTCGCCATCTCTCAAATTCCTCGAGCACCAACTCAACGTCGGTAGTTAGGGCCATGACGACAGCGAAACCTGAGTGCGATGCAACCGGAACTGTGGGATGGCGGCAGCTGCCATCTGTGAAGAGCAGCAGGCGCGGGATGTGACGCGCAAGTTCCTGAGCAGCCTTGTTGCTAGCCGCAGGCATGCGACGCTGTGCGAAAATCAGGTTTGTGACTAATGCACCTTCTGCTCGGACCGCATACAGTCCATGCAACCAATGAGGCCAGCGGTCAAGGCAGTACTGCATCAAACCGGCCCAATCCTTATACACATGCTCAAGTGCGGAACATGTCAACAGGCGATGTTCCTTCGTGTCCTTTGCGCCACACAGGGGACACATATCGGGGACGGCGGGCTCCCACTTATGTTTGGCGGCCCCAGAGCTATATGCACCGCACACGTAGCGAGCCAACACCAGTGCCTCCGCATCCCCAACCTGGCGGAGGATGCGGGCGGTCTCTTGACCCCAAGGTGTTCCTACACCCTGTAAGCCGTTCCTATGGGCAACGGTGCGCTCCACATGGCACTCCCAGGCACTCGTGAGGAAGCTGCGAACGTCTTTGGCACTGGCAGTTTGCAGCTGCAGACAAACATTGTCCGGGCCCTTCACTCGGGCATCAAGGTCCATCTTCAGTCCCAGGAAGTGAAGCGACTTTAACAAGGCCGTAGCAGGGCCCACTGTAACGCGAGGGACCTCGTGGAAGTCAGACATGACTGCCAACATGGATGCAGCCGTATGGGGCGCATGGTGTATGAAGCGGCGCAGTTGTAAGACCTGCTTCTCAATGGCAAAGAGATGTGGGTCCTGAAGTGAGGCATGGAGGCATGTGAGCGCCAAGTGGGGGCTTGCGACTTGCGAAGGGCCCAGCAAGGCCCTCGTGGCTGCGGCACGCAGCCGGGACGCGTCCTGCACACTCAAGGAGGCACCCTCAAGTCCATACAAGCAGCTGGGCCAAACCCCTTTTTGTATCAGCTGCGCCTTCTCCAGAATAGGACGTGGCACCTTTTCCAATTTCCGGAGTCTTTCAAGCCCCAGCTCGACTTTGCCCTTGCGGACAGTTGCATGCTGGGAGGCATCGAACTGGAAAGCAGCCCCAAGCTCCCTGACCGTTCGCGCAACCGGCAGTTGCACTTCAGGCGGCAACACGTCAGCGAGCCCTGTCCGGAGCCACTGACGGCCACTTGGAGTTGTAGCCCAGCTGTAGGACTTAGTCCAGTCCACAGGGAGTTTGAGACTTTGAAGGAAACGGAGGAGGTATGAGGTGGCATGCTTCAACGTTGGGAGCGCCGGCGCCTGCCAACTCCAATTGTCAACGTACGTGCCGAACTCAGCAGAAGACGGTTGAATGAAGTTGTGAGCCCAATAGCACACGGCAGCCATGGCGGCGACCGACACTGGGTCGCCCTCCGGCGCACCGTTATAGGCCTTTATGCCAGCAGGGCACACCGACCCGAGGAAAACAGGACGCCTAACAACCTTGCGCAAACCCTGCAACCAAAAGTCAACGAGGTCACCAGGCATGCCTGCTCGTGTCATCAGGACACGCAAGGGAGGCCATGGCAGCTGGTTAAAGCATTTTACTATGTCAACCCCAACCCCGTAAAGCGTCTCCTTTTGCAGCAGGGCGCATTCAATGGCATGCTGCTGTCGCCCCGCCAGATCACTGGCAGCCCTGCCTGGTAGACTCCCCATGACTGCCGGTGGAAAGGTGTTTCCCCACGTGTGCAGCACCTGGTTCACAAGAACTGAACCCCAAAGACGATACAAAGTACTGAATATGACAATAGGACGACTGTGCTTGATGTGCTCAGGCGCCTCATGCTTGGCCAGGACACAGACGCGCGACTCAAGCATGTGAGCAGGCAGACCCAACTTAACGGCAATCTGAAAGATGCGGATCAGAACCTCCAGAGCACAGTCCGGCAAAAGTTTGAGCTCAGACGGGGACCATCCACAGATTCCTGTGGCCTTCATTTTGGGCATTCGCCGGATAGCTTGTCGCCACAACCGTATGTCACACATGTCAACATCAATGCGTGGCAATGGCCCTGAAAGGTCTTGCGTGTTTGCCTGGAAGAGCTCCCAACCTGCAAGTTGCTGTGATTCCTCAGTACGGTCACGGCCCCAGAGCGGCCCCCAGTAGTCACTGAAGGCCTTGGCAAGCTCGGGAGCTGTGCATGCCACCTGGTCCTGTGACACCCAAATGGACTCCCCAAGTGATGGGCCACGGACACAAATGTGGTCACCCTCGTTGGTGGCCTGCGGGATGGTGGCCTGATTGACAGTGAACGGGGCGCTCGGGTGCAGAGACACCCCTGCAGGGAGGGCATATGTACACATGCTTGCATCCTCAGCATGGACCAGAAGGGCCTGGCATTCCAGTCGATGGGGCACGCTGGTGAAAGGGGGATGCGGCGCTGGGCGCACAGCCGCAAACCCTTCCGCCGACGCATGGTAGCGCCGATCCAAGGCCATTCTGATTTTGAACTTGTCCGCGCGGCACTTTGCCTCCTGCTTAGCCAAGGCTTGGCAATCAAACTTGGTATAACTGATGCAGTCACAAAGCCAGTCAGCATCGGGCAGGTCGAGTGGCACCTGATGGAAATGGGCAACGCGCAAGAGCCAAGCGGGGAAAGGCATAGAGTATCCTGCTGCATTCCGTATACGCCGCCACTGGTCACAGGCGCAGCGGTTCCTATGGTTGTTGCCTGGGCGGTGTTGGATTGCATGAATGGTGCGGGCAAGCTCCTCCAGCCGCCGAACCTGCCGCACCCGCATCCGGCACAGAACCGAAGTGGCCTCAACATCCGTGGTGAAATCGCCACGCCTTGCCGCCTTCACCAGCTGTGGGACAGGGCGTTGACACAGGCTTCTAGGGCGGCACCGTCCGCGTTGCGCTTTCCGGAGACCACACTGACCCGAGTCCGTCGGGGAGTCCAACAAGCCGCGGTGGACCGCCTCCTCCACAGCGGAGGCCCACGACTGCAAGCACGTCCCCACATCAGTGGAGGTTTGACACCTTTGGAGTTGCGCGTGCACCTGAGGGAGCAGGGCCTCGCAATGGTGCTTGAACAGACGCGGCGGCGGAGGGGAATCCGCCCATGTCTTCGGCATTGTCCAAGTCTGAACCGTTGGGAGGGCATGGGGAACCTTCAAAGTGACAACCAAGGGATCATGCGAATCAAAAAGGTGTCGTCCCGCGAGTACTTGCGCCCCAATCCAGAAGGGCACCAGCACCGGGTGAAGGAGCAAAGTGTCATGACGGGTGGACCCCCTGCACGTGGGAGGTAGGGACTGGCCCGTCCTATCTTCATGGAGTTGGAAGGCTTCATGATACCCACGGCTCGCAAAAGCCTGCCCGGCCGGGAGGGACATTGGTCGGCAATTGAAGTCTCCAGCAATAATACACGGAATTCGGCAGGAGCAGGCTCTGTCAAAGGCAGCCTGAAGGAGGGAGTTGTTGTAAGTCATGGCACCTGTGTGGTTTGCAGGCAGACCATATAGTGTCAGTAGACGAACCTCCACAGGGCCAAATCTCACGAACGCCTCGGCCAGGCGGCCACAGCTAGCATGCTCACCCTGTAACGGCTGTATGGACGGGCGACTGGGGAGATGCGTGAACATCGCCACGCCCGCTGCCATTCCACGTAAAGTATCCGCGTGGCCTTCACGTTGATGTGATGGGACTGCAGCTCCCCAGTGGGACGTCAGCCCATACTGCCGGAGCTTATGGCCCACGATATGTTGAACCCGTGCAACCGCAGAAGTTTCAGACACACACAAGATATCACCCTGTAGGCTCAAGAGATCCTGCTCTTTGTGGAGAACAGACGTCGGGTTGCACACCACGATACGACACACATCCCCACCCTGCACGGTTTTAACCTGACGCCTATTAGCCTTTGGTGCCGTGACACGCTGCTGTGGGTTCAGCTGGAAGTACCTGTGAAGTGTAACTGGCGCCGGTCCTGGATGTGAGGCTTCACCAACCCTACAGGCACGCCACCAATCATGCTGCGTCGTCCGTCTTGGCAGGCTCGTGTCTGTGTGGGACGAGAGGACAAGCATGCCGGAACAACGGCAGCATCGTTGAGGGGCGGTACCATGTCGGGACCCCCAACTCCACCTGCACGGAGCTGAGGCACCAGAGCTTGGCAAGGCCTCGAGTACAGCAACTTGGGATATCGGCACAAAGAGTCCTAGGCCTAGCGTCGTTGCAACAACTAAGCTCTTTTTGGGGAAAGATTCAAGACGGTAGATGGTAGCAGAGCCCCTCCGGGGCCAGAGCAACGTGGTTAGATGAAGGAAGGGCCAAAAACCTCCGAGAACAGCATATGGCTGAGGAGGTGGCAGTCTTTTGGCAAAAAGGCAACGAGGCCGCTCAGTCAAGACGGTCATTCTCCCAGTGACAAAGCGGGAGGCACAACCACTAACCCGACCAGCAGCTAAAACCCAAAAAAGCACTGCGTGGCAGTGCTGGCGGGGAAAGACCCCCGGAAACCGTCACAGTTCCGAGTCTTCACGGCGGGGTCGTTTCTCAGCGGCCTGGGCGAGGATCAACTGTTTTAGCTCAGCCATGCCCTGCGCCACCTGTTGCTCCTGCTGGGCTTGGGCGCAACGCAAGGAGTCGATGCTAGAGCTGAGCTGTTGACCCAGTTGATTGCTTAGGAGCTGCATGTCTGCGCGGACGCGCCCCAAATCGTCCGCATGGTTCTTGAGGTCCGACTTCCTGTCCACTGACTCCTTCTCGACTGCTCCCTGCAGCTGCGCAATACTTGTTTCCAGGGCATGCAGTCGTCTGTCTTGTTCAGTGAGGCGTGCAGCTGCCTGCCCGTCAAGGCCTTTTGCAGGTTGCGGAGGAAGGCGTGGCGGCGCCGTCGGCCCCGCTGCCTTTGTTGCGAGGTACTGACCCCACGGGTCTTGGGAGGACCACGGGTCCTGTGTGTCAGCAGCAGCAGCGGACGCTGACGATGGCACTGGCGCACGAGGGGGTTCCTCAGCCTGGATGACCCGACGCGTGGATTGACGTGGCTGCACGTAAGACACAAGCACAGGCGTGCCGTTGAAGGCCGGCTGAAGGGAGGGAGGTTCCTGATTTGTGCCCAGGAGGTAGTACGCTGGTCCTAACATTTTCAGAACCTTGACCTTCCATGGAAGCTTGCTCGCCCATGTAAGGACATCGCGCTCAGAGGCTGTAGCTGGCAAGGGGCCAACCTTGTACAAGCTAGAGACTGGGATGTTTTCTGGAATTGGGTCCGATGGGCGGAGTTGCTGAAAGACAGCAGCAAAGGCGTCGGCCGGGACACGTATTCCGAACCTGCGTCGGCCCCGAACAAGGCCATGTTGAGATGGGACAACGAGGGCCTGTCGTTCAACCTCAGCCTTAGAGCCTGCGAGCCAAACAACCGACCACCCGGGCAAGGGTCTTGAATCCCCCCACGCTTTGGGCACAACGTACACCATACAGAAGCCGCTTTGCTGGAGGACAGTGCGCAGGATGGAGTCAGGCACCTTGGCATGGAACTGCAAAGAGTCAGCTTGGCTTGGCGCAACCGGTTTTCCATCTGCCCGGTATGTGCGGCCCCACGGGTTGACGAAGGGCTTTTCAACGCCTTGGGCCTGCAGTTGTTGCTGGGCTGTGCGAACCGGGCTTTCAATGAAGTGGGACCACTGGACCTCTGCAGGGAGATCATCCCTATACACCGTGAAAGCGCAACACACCATGCCTTCAACTGTCACTGCAGCCTGCGTCTGGTACTTTGGTTGCACATCCGTGGCCCCTACGTTGTGGAAGCACCCGGCGAGGAGGTGTGGACGCCCGGTCTCCACATCCTCGGCCGAGATACTAATGGTTCCCCCGCAGGTCGAAGGCTCTGGGCAATCGTACCCCAACACCGCCACACACAGAGCATCCGACTCCATTGTCCTTAGCAAGGCAAGGTCTTCAGGGGTTGTTGCGGCGGCGTCCTGCAGGATAACACCTGTTGCACCTGGACAAAGGTTTTGCAAGATGGGCACCGGCTGCTCGTCCATGCCACACCATATCCCTGGGCATAAGCGGAATTGCGCGGCCACTGGCACGGTCTGTGCCGGAAGGCGTTGTTTTCGCAAGGCTTTTTGGATTCGGGCAGCTGCTTTGGCAACTCGGCTGTCCCCACTAGGCCACTCAACCCCTGCGGCCTTAGCGTTCTTAGCAAGGTCCTCCCATCGCTGGGCCGGGTCAGTAGGCTTAACCAGAGCCAGGCATTTGGAGGCCCCGAGCTTGTCTAACAGGCGGTCTGTGACAACCGTAGTTTCATGCAGGCTCACTCCTCTGTCCAACAACAGTGAGGCAATCCTCGTCTTAGCCAACTGGACCCCGTCATCCTTAGCGCCGCCACCTCGATGCTCAACATGGACACAAAGCAAAATGCGGCTGGATCCCTTACGGCGGAACAGGGGCTGCGCTCCGTTTGTCTGCAGGTTGCGTTCGACAGGGAGCGGGAACGGGCCAGATGTAACCCTGGCCTTCGGCCAACAACCAGCGAACAGGCTGGCAGACCGCCAGCAGTTGAGGATGGTTTCCACAGTCATTGCAGCGGGCAAGGATGTGAACGCCACAGTCTCGGCCTGGCACTGAAGCTCAACCTCAACCTTAGGGCACCCTGGCGGCTGTGTTTTGGCGAGTTGGTACAGTTGCCCCAAGAAACTTTGCTTACGCAGCAGCCCTTGCATGGTCTCTGGAGATATCACAAAGCCTGCAAGCTTTGGTTGGAGGGAAACTTGTAGCCTATCAACCGCTCGTGGAGGGAAGGCGCCGAAGGTGACCGACCAGCCCATGGCCTCAATCAGCGCAATGGGCAGGTGCATGCACCAATGCGCAGCAAAAGCGGATGGCACTTGGAAGCAGAAACCCTGACCCTGTCGCCTGACCCTCGTGGCTGAGACACTGCTTGGTGCATACTGGGGCGGCTGCATGGGCACTTGATCGATGGAAGTAATAATGGTCCAGGCTGGCAGCTTTTCAAGTTCTGGGACCGGGCGCCCCATAACGTCAAGGCACACTGCGTCGCCTGAACCCCTTCCAATGACTTTCAGGAAAAGGGACTTGAGCTGTGCCAGAAAATCGTGCGCATGTCTTTTTCAAGCAACAAACGCCAGAAGGTGTGAGCGCAACCAAGACAGGTGCACCCGGCTGCGGTCGAACATCCCAGGGCACATGGAGAGGCGTGTGTAGTGTAAGTGTTTCTGACGGTTCATCCGCAGGTGTCTGCGTCGCACTGCAGGAGTGTGCACAGCGGTTTGGGCTAGACCCAAAAGAGGTTCGGGAGGTGGCCCCCAGCAGCATGCCTGCAGCCTGTGTCGCACTGGGGGGGTGAGCACACGGGTTAGGGCTATACCCTAAAGGGGTTTGGGAGGTGGCCCCCAGTGCGTTGAAAGCAAGGGCAAAGTCCAGCCCCGGCGAGATGTGGAGCTTCAGTGGAGTGCCTGCGGCCTGTGTCGCACTGCAGGGGTGTGCACACGGGTTAGGGCTAGACCCGAAAGGGTTTGGGGAGGGGGCCTGCAGCACGTTGAACGCAAGGGCAGAAACCTTCGCACTGGGGGGGTTGGCACACGGGTTAGGGCTATACCCGAAAAGGGTTGGGGATGTGGCCCCCAGTGCGTTGAAAGCAAGGGTGGGGTTCATCCCCTTCAGTCGTGGAGTGCTTACGGACTGTGTTGCGCTGGGGGGGTGCGCACAAGGTTTGGGGCTAAACCCGAAAGGGGTCAGGGAAGTGGCCCCCAGCGCACTGAGAGCAAAGAAAGGGCCCAGCCCCAGCAAGAGTCGTGGAGTCTCTGTCGCACTGGGGGGGTGTGCACACAGGTTTGGGCTATACCCGAAATGGGTTAGGGAGATTGCCCCCAGCGCGTGCACAGCAAAGGCACGGTCCAGCCGCAGCGACAGGTGAACCTTCGGTGTTGGAGCGCCTGCGGTCTGTGTCGCACTGGGGGGGTGTGCACACGGGTTAAGGCTAAACCCAAAAGGGGTTTGGGAGGTGGCCCCCAGCGCGCTGAAAGCAAGGATAGGGCCCAGCCCCAAAATGAGCGGTGGAGTGCCTGTGCCCTCTGTAGCACTGGGGGGGTGTGCACACGGGTTGGGACTACACCCTAAAGGGGTTCGGGATATGGCCCCCAGCGCGTTGAAAGCAAGGGTGAGTCCTGTAGTAGCTGCAACGGTCAAACTAGGGGAGTGTCCGCAAATGGGGGTCTCCTGCGCGTTGAAAGCAAGGGTCATTTGTGGAGTGCCTGCCGCCTGTGACATAGGTACATGGTGGGTCCGGAAACTCTCAACAGCCCTCCTACACCCAGCATCAAACAGAGCGTTGAAGAATGGGGAGACTGGCAAGACTACTGCAAACTTGGCCCTGAGTCGCTTGTCAATACAACAATGCACAGCTACAGCGGGGTTAATGGCATCATGAGGCTCAAACTGCGTGTCTGTAGGGTCATGATCCAGCGACCAGCTCACCTCCCAAGGCACCCGCACGAGTGCCATGCGCATGGCTGCCTGGCTCCAGCCGCTGAAGCCGCCGCAAAACACTTCAGCCCTACGAACCACCTCATGCTTTTCAATGTCCAGTTGCCCCATGAGGAACGCTGGTCCCATCGTGGCGTCCAAGATGACCACGTCACCCTGACAGCATGCCACCGTCCACGCAGCTCGTATCCTACGAGTGTGGCTTGCCAGGGTGTAGAAATCCGAAGCTCTCAGACGTAACACAGCCTTCCCTCCCGCGGTGGAGGGGCAAACGCTGATATCCCCATTGGCCGCCCAAATGTGTGCCTGTTGCAGCACCTGCGCTCTCACCAGGAAGTCCTTGCCTGCCGGCACAAAATCGCCGTCCAAACGAAGATCAAAGCATGCTAGCTGGCCTTCCCGAAGATCCTGGCAATGTGCCGCAAAACCAAAGAGATCCCTCAATGACTCCCAGGCTGGATGCGTCGCTCTTTCATGTGTCCCCTGGTTCGACATGGCAGGGCCCAATTTGCAGGCACGAGGCTACCCAACGACCTCGGCTCTAGTCGCCCTGGGCCGAGAGGCTCTAAACCCTAAACCCTAAGCCCTAAACCCTTAAACCTAAACCCTAGCCCTAAACCCTAAACCCTGAACCCTAAACCCTAAAACCTAAACCCTAAAGCCTAAGCTGAGTCCAGGCAGGCTTCAAGAGTGATTCCTGGAGCGCTTGCACCTTCTTTGCGTTACCAGTAAACATGGCTGAGCCAAAAAGTGCCGGGACATAACGAGTGCAGTCTGCAGGTAGCACTGGCAGGCAATAAACCCTAAACCCTAAACCCTAAACCCTAAACCCTAAACCCTAAACCCTAAACCCTAAACCCTAAACCCTAAACCCTAAACCCCAAACCCTAACGGCTGGCCTTGGACTGCTCCTGCTTGGTCGTAAGGGTCGATGTGCCCGGGCTTGAACCTCGAGGGCACCTGGGTCGGCTCGGGGGGGGTTCGGGGGGCTTAGGTTTTAGGGTTTAGGGTTTAGGGTTTAGGGTTTAGGGTTTAGGGTTTAGGGTTTAGGGTTTAGGGTTTAGGGTTTAGGGTTTAGGGTTTAGGGTTTAGGGTTTAGGGTTTAGGGTTTAGGGCGGGGGTTCGTAGGTTCGTAGGGCTTTGTGGGCTTTAGGTTTCCAGGGGATTCAAGGTTTAGGGTTTTATAGGTTTTAGGGCTGGGGTTTTAAACGGCTTGATTCGAGTGTTCCAAGTTTTTGTGGAACGTTTTTTTTGGACCCCGAACCCGAACACAAGCCCTAAACCAGATCAAGGGTTTAGGGCCTTTGGCCTCAGGGTTTAGGGAGCCTAACCCCTAAAAATCCCCGAAACCCGAAACCCGAAACCCAAAACCCTGGACGGCTGCTGGAGGCTCCTTCCTCCCAGGCGCGTCCAGCACACGAAGCGCGCTGCGGACTGAGAAGTTCTCCTTCTTGTTGGGCTGAAAGTGGCTCCTCTCCTCCGATGGGTTTCCGAAAATTTGGGTACCTTGTTGGGGTCCTGTTCATAAGGGAATCCTACTATTTGGGGTCCATTTTGCTCTTCTTTGGAGTAGACCTTGGAAGAAATGTATATACTTTTAAGGTATAAGTAGCTATAACTGAAACCCAGTAAACCCTGCACCCTAAACCCTAAACCCTAAACCCTAAACCCTAAACCGTACTCCAAAACCTAGTTTAGGGGTCCCCTATGTCCGTAAACTCCCTTATGGATCCGAGCTCGGAGCCCTTGCCACAAGTAGCCCCCGATGCTTCAGGATCATGAAGGTGGAGGAGGGCTTTAGGGGTAGGGTTTAGGGTTTAGGGTTTAGGGTTTAGGGTTTAGGGTTTAGGGTTTAGGGTTTAGGGTTTAGGGTTTAGGGTTTAGGGTTTAGGGTTTAGGGTTTAGGGTTTAGGGTTTAGGGTTTAGGGTTTAGGGTTTAGGGTTTAGGGTTTAGGGTTTAGGGTGTAGGGTTTAGGGTTTAGGGTTCAGGGTTCGAACTTGCACCTTGCTTTCCGCAAGGTTCCCTTCCCTAAACCCTAAACCCTAAACCCTAAAGACTAAAAAACCCTAAAGACTAACCCCTACACCCTAAACCCTAAACCCTAAACCGCCTAAACCGCCTAAGCCGCCTAAACCACCTAAACCCTAAACCCTAAACCCTAAACCCTAAACCCTAAACCCTAAACCCTAAACCCTAAAACCTAAACTAAACCCTAAATCCTAACCCGAACACCTCGTGAGACTCAGTCCTTCTCAATGCGCTGGCACCATAGGAACTGGCCCTTGCTCGTTGTGATGTCATTGGGGTTGTCGTCCACCATGGCTAGGCTGGGTTTAGGGTTTAGGGTTTGGGGTTTAGGGTTTAGGGTTTAGGGTTTAGGGTTTAGGGTTTAGGGTTTAGGGTTTAGGGTTTAGGGTTTAGGGTTTAGGGTTTAGGGTTTAGGGTTTAGGGCTTAGGGCTTCGGGCTTAGGGTTTAGGGACAAACCCCCAACTCCAGTGCGAGAAGGGAAAAGCTTCCCAAACTTTACCTCATCTTTAAGCCAAATTGTTCCTGGCTTGGATCATCAGATCGTGGAACGAGACTCTTGCGCTAATAGTTGCGGCTGTTGCCTATGCTTGGTAGGTTGCTTCGAACCCAACAACAGCAGCAAGACGACAGAATGTTTGCTTCTCATTTCTCTGCACAATCTAAGCCCTGAGCCCTGAGCCCTAAGCCCTAAGCCCTAAACCCTAAACCCTAAACCCTAAACCCTGAACCCTGAACCCTGAACCCTGAACCCCAAACCCTACATCTTGTTGTGAGGATTTGTGAGGACATCTCTGGCATCTACGGTACGTTGGCCTGAGCTTGCCTTGCCACTTATTTTTGTCTTGTGGTGTGTCTGGTAAAGGCCTGGAGTGTGTAGGGGTTGTAGGGCTTAGGGCTTCGGAAACCCTAAACCACAAACGCCAAAATTAAACCGCGGGTGGTGAGGACTTGTTGGTTTGGGGTTTCGGGTTTAGTTTCCAGCACTCAGGCCCGTAACCCTAAACCAGACATACTTACCCCAGATAACCCTAAACCCCTAAACCTGAATGGGGCTTGGGGTTTAGGGCTGAGGGTCTTCTACAGCCAACTCCCTTTCCAATACTGTCGACTCGGGAGTAACCTAGAAATACAAAGGGTGCCCTTCTTTGGTCTAAAGGGGCTTGCAAGGGAACCTAAGCCCTAAACAAAGAATATGGGGGGTCCTAGGGGCCACTGTTCAAGGTATGCTTGAGGGTGCCTCAATGCCCGAGGGCTTGCTTGCACATGGCGAAGACCACGGCCCAACAAGCAGGAAATGCAATTCGAGCTGCCGCGCTAAAATCCCTAAACTCCTAAACCCTAAGCCCTAAACCCTACTTCACGAAGACCCCAAATTTTGGGGGACCCCAAAAGCGGGGTTCATGGATTTAGTCTTTATTATACAGCTTGAAGTGTTTGAGTTAGGGTTTAGGGTTTAGGGTTTGGGGTTTGGGGTCTGGGGCTTTGGGTTTGGGGTTTGGGGTTTGGGGTTTGGGGTTTGGGGTTTAGGGTTTAGGGTTTTGGGTTTGGGGTTTGGGGTTTGGGGTTTAGGGTTTAGGGTTTAGGGTTTAGGGTTTGGGGTTTAGGGTTTAGGGTTTAGGGTTTAGGGTTTAGGGTTCCGGCAAACTCGGTCAGCATCCGGGCCCACACACGTCCTTTACGGCCACGGTGGGATGCTGGATGGTGCGGGGGAACGCTGTGTAATGGCTCCTCCATTGCATGATGGGTCTGAAGCTTCCTACCCCCCCCCCCCTCCTCCCCAAACTTTAGGGGTTTAGGACACAAGGCCCTGGGGTTTGGGGTTGGCTAGGGCTTAAACTTTAGGGTCTAGGGTTTAGGAGGTTTAAAGGGTGTAGAGTTTCGGCGTTTTAGGGGTGGGCTTTCGGGGCTGGGGTGCGGTGCTGGGGTACGGCTAAGGCTATTGGGGTCAGGGTTAGGCCATTGGGACACTTTAACTTTTACCCCCGGCCCGGGTATGCCTTAAGCCCCTGAGCCGCTCTAGATCCTAAATCCTAAACCCTAAACCCTAGACCCCAAACCCTAAAACCCAAACCCCAAACCCCACACCCCAAACCCTAAACCCTAAACCCGAAACCCTAAACCCTACACCCTAAACCCAAACTAGACCCAAACTCTTGGGCCCCTGGCCGGTCGAGCATTGAGGCCGTGGGGGCCAGCGTGCGCGTGGGGAGAGGACGGAAGCCTGAAAGTCGCGAATAAACAAAGAGTTTAGGGTTCAGGGTTCAGGGTCTAGGGTTTAGGGTTTCGGGTTTAGGGTTTATGGTTTAGGGTTTAAGGTGTGGGGTGTGAGGTTTTAGGGTTTTAGGGTTTTGGGTTTGGGGTTGTAAGGGTTTGGGTTTGGGGTTGCAAGGTTTGGGGTTTAGGGCTTAGGACCGCAAGCCCTAGACCAAAAACCCTGCCGCTTCTTGTTGCTGTAGAAACAGGCAACCTTAAACCCTAAACACTTATAAACCCTAAACCCTAAACCCTAAACCCTAAACCCTAAACCCTATAGGTCCCGAGAAGTGTACAGGGACTCAGGGATGTCGCAAGCTTTTGGGAGTCTGGGGTTCAAGGCTTAGGGAACGGGGTTTAGGGTTTAGGGCTTAGGGTTTAGGGTTTAGGGTTTAGGGTTTAGGGTTTAGGGTTTAGGGTTTAGGGTTTAGGGTTTAGGGTTTAGGGTTTAGGGTTTAGGGCTAGGGTTTAGGAAGTTTAGGGTTTAGGGTTAGGAGTTCAGGGTTTAGGGTTTAGGGTTTAGGGTTTAGGGTTTAGGGTTTAGGGTTTAGGGTTTAGGGTTTAGGGTTTAGGAAGTTTAGGGTTTGGGGGTTTGGAGTTCAGGGTTTGGGGTTTAGGGGCTTGGGGTTGGGTCTTAGATGAGACTTACCCGCATCACGCGCAAGGCAGCCTCCAACGCTGCGGGCAGTCGCGTATGTCCTTGCAGGCAACCCTAAACCCTAAAACCTAAACGCTAAATGCTAAACCCTAAACGCTAAACCCTAAACGCTAAACCCTAAACCCTAAACCCTAAACCCTAAACCCTAAACCCTAAACCCTAAACCCTAAACCCTGAGTGTCCAGCCAGGCCAAAGGTTGCGAGTTGCGGGTTAGGGGCTTAGAAGTGCCTTGAAAAGCTTTAAGCTTTGAACGGGGCAGCTCTCTAAATTCGGGGTTTAGGGTTGAGGGTTTAGGGTTTAGGGTTCAGGGTTCAGGGTTCAGGGTTCAGGGTTTAGGGTTTAGGGTTTAGGGTTTAGGGTTTAGGGTTCAGGGTTCAGGGTTCAGGGTTCAGGGTTCAGGGTTCAGGGTTTAGGGTTTAGGGTTTAGGGTTTAGGGTCTAGGGTTTAGGGTTTAGGGTTTAGGGTTTAGGGTTTTAACACGGAACCCTATATTCGGTGTGTAGGGTTTGGGGTTTAGGGGGTTTAGGGTTCAGGGTTTGTCTTGCTAGCAACATTCGGGCCCGAATCCTCTGAAGCCACTCAACTCTGTGCAGCATGACCCTGAAAACAAGGCCCCCGAACCCCTCCAAGCCCTGAATCACTGAGAATCCTAAACGGCAGAATAGAAGGCCCAAAGGGGCCTTCAACCCTAAACCCTAAACCCTAAAACCTAAACCCTAAACCCTAAACCCTAAGCCCTAAACCCAAACCCCCTAACCCCAACAAGCCCTGGATCCTCAAACTGACACTCCCCTCATGCCCCGCTTCAGGGTTTAGGGTTTAGGGTTTAGGGTTTAGGGTTTAGGGTTTAGGGTTTAGGGAGTTGGAGCACTCCTGAGCTTTAAAGCGCCCCGGAATGCAATTCTGCTCGGGGTGAGGGAGTAGGGTTTTGGGGTTGAGGGTTGAGGGTTGAGGGTTTTGGGTTTAGGAGGGAATTGGCCTTAGGGTGGGGTGTATCTTCTGGCTTGTAGTTGTAGGGTTTTTGGATGTGTTCGGCGGCAATTCTGCGCTTTCGACGCCGAGGACATCGAGAGGCTTCCGAGCTTACAAGACAAGGTCCAACTACCAACTTCTATAGCTCAACCCCAAACCCTCAAATTCCAAGGCTCCAAACCTCGACCCTCTACACGCCGTCTAAAACCTCAAAAATCCTAAACTCCTACATCTTCTCAAGCAACCCCTAAACCCTTAAACCCTACATCCACAAAGTAATTCAACCTGATAAGCCCAGATCAACCCTCTCAACCCCCCCCCCCCCCCAAAGCACTGAAAACCTGTTAAACCCCAAACCTTCCAACTGCTGGGATGCAGGGACTGTATGACTTCGAAGGCTCTGCGGTTTCAGTTGACCCCTTGTTTAGGGTTCAGGGTTTAGGGTTTAGGGTTTAGGATTTAGGGTTTAGGGTTTAGGGTTTAGGGTTTAGGGGTTTAAAGGCATAGGGTTTAGGGTTCAGGGTTTAGGGCTCAAGGTTCCGGGGTCGACCCAAGGCCCCTCATCCCACATTCTGCGAGCTCGTTTTGACCGCAAGAGACACCTCACGTCGCCCCAAGGCGGCGGGCATGACGGGCAGCTCGCCTAGGCAGTGTGGGCTCGGGGTCCTGCGCCTTTTATCACTCCCTCCCCTTGTAGGGCAAGAAGATCCTAAGGCATGTTAGGGTTGAGGGTTCAGGGTTTAAAAGGGTTTAGGGTTCAGGGTTTGAGGTTTAGGGTCTAGGGTAAACCCTCAACCCCAAACCCTGATTCAAGGGAGGCCCAAGGGTAACCTAGGAATAAAGAAGCCTGCCCTTTTTTGGGTTCAAGGCAAAGGGGTTCATAAGGCACCAAAAAGGAGGGAACAGGGGCCTACTCTGCGTCCTAGCTGAGCAACAGAATCAGCACAGGATTCTCCGTCGGCACGCCGGGAACGCAGCTTAGGTTGGTACCATTTAGGGCTTGGGGCATAAGGGTCAAATCCGAAACCCTCATCCCTCAACTCAAAGCCCAAGACACCAGAGCCCAACCACATTTGCTGGATGTTTGCTGTCGAGCATTTTGTACCTAGGAACGCCTGAAAGGATTCGGGTAGACCCAGCTTCATAACTCCCCTAAGCTCACTTAACCTTCAACCACTAAACCCGAAACGCGCCCAAACCTGCCTTCGAGCGACTGGGTTTCGTAGAACAGGGTTTCCGGAACCCCTAACCTGTTTTGGGAAGCTGAGCGAGCAAGACCACTCTGACCCTAAACCCTTTTTCTGGGGTTCCGGGCCCCGATGTGATAGAAGCTGGACAACGATCTTCGCGCCAACCCCAATCTGCAGGGATGCAAGTGCCTGGGGAGGCTTGGGGGTTTAGGGTTTGGGGTTTAGGGCTTAGGGTTTAAGGTTTAAGGTTTAGGGTTTAGGGTTTCGGGTTTAGAAATTAGGGTTTCGAAAGAAAGCGTGGGGGAAGTGTTGAGGGCTTTGCTGGGTTGAGGGGCTTTAGGGGCTTCGAGGGTTCTAGGGTTCAGGAGAGTTGGGGATGAAGGCCTAAACCCTAAACCCTAAACCCTAAACCCTAAACCCTAATTTGGATGTTTCGGGGCCCACCTTAAACCCTAGGGTTTAGGGTTTAGGGTTTAGGGGTTTAGGGGTTTAGGGGTTTAGGGTTTAGGGTTTAGGGTTTAGGGTTTAGGGTTTAGGGTTTAGGGTTTAGGGTTTAGGGTTTAGGGTTTAGGGTTTAGGGTTTAGGGTGGTAAACTCTAAGAGCCACGGCTAAAACTGGGGCTTGGAGTTGATCCAGATTGACATGATATGGCTTTGCTTTGGGTCCCTGCCACATGTCGGGCCTTCAAGTGGGTGGGCCACCAAGCAGGGTCATATTTTTTTTAGGGTTTAGGGTTTAGGGTTTAGGGTTTAGGCCTTCGTAGCAGCCCGGTCACCCCAGCCGGAGTCCTGCACCAGCCCCGAGCAAGTGGGCCGGTCCTCTTTGCAGATGGTCCAGGGAAGCCCAATGAAGCCAGTCCTCACTCGGGCCTAGTTGAGGGTTTAGGGTTTAGGGTTTTGAGTTTTTGGTTTGGAAGCAGGAGGACTCTTATGGCATTCTTTTCTGGGATCCTTTGTAGAGTTGAGGAACCAAAGCCCTATTTCGTACATTGGAGTCTTCAGGCTAGCTCGAAAGCTTGCACCCCCCACACGTGTCTTAGCACCTCAAAACCGTATGCCCTAAAAAGTCCTGTCGACCTCGAGGCCCAACCCCCAACCCCGTGACCACCCCCAAACACACTGAAATTTCAGCCCCCTAAACCCTAAACCCTAAACCCTAAACCCTAAACCCATGGAACCGACCCCGGGTTTAGAGTTTAGGGTGTAGGGTGTAGGGTGTAGGGTTTAGGGTTTAGGGTTTAGGGTTTAGGGTTTAGGGTTTAGGGTTTAGGGTTTAGGGTTTAGGGTTTAGGGTTTAGGGTTTAGGGTTGAAGGAAGTGCCGACAGCCCGGCTCTCTAGCAAAGAGTTCGGCTTAGCATGTACCACACAAGGAGGACCTTGTAGGGCTCCCCGCGACAAGACATGGAACACAACCGGAAGCCTGAAGTCTAAGCAACCGCAATTTCACGGGTGGGTTTGGGGTTTAGGGTTTAGGGTTATAGGGTTATAGGGTTATAGGGTTATAGGGTTATAGGGTTATAGGGTTATAGGGTTATAGGGTTATAGGGTTATAGGGTTATAGGGCCAGGGGTTATAGGGTTATAGGGGTTATAGGGTTATAGGGTTATAGGGGTTATAGGGTTACAGGGTTATAGGGTTATAGGGTTATAGGGTTATAGGATAGGGTTATAGGGGTTATAGGGTTATAGGGTTATAGGGTTATAGGGTTATAGGGTTTAGAAGTTTGGAGCCCCCAAGCCCGATCCCTCAACCATAAACCCGAGGAGGCGGTTTAGGGCTAGGGTCTAGGGTCTAGGGTCTAGGGTCTAGGGTCTAGGGTTTAGGGTTTAGGGTTTAGGGTTTAGGGTTTAGGGTTTAGGGTTTAGGGTTTAGGGTTTAGGGTTTAAGGTTTAGGGTTTAGGGTTTTTAGGGTTTAGGGTTTAGGGTTTAGGGTTTAGGGTTTAGGGTTTAGGGTTTAGGGTTTAGGGTTTAGGGTTTAGGGTTTAGGGTTTAGGGTTTAGGGTTTAGGGTTTAGGGTTTAGGGTTGAGGAGGCGAAATGGCCCAACACCTCACAAACAAAAAGCGGGTCTTTAGGGTGCCGCAATGGGCCCTGAGGACTCTCATGTAGGGTCCAGAGATGTCCGAGCAGGGCTCACAGCATGGGGGTTTAGGGTTGAGGTTTGGGGTTAAGGGTTCAGGGTTCAGGGTTTAGGGTTTAGGGTTTAGGGTTTAGGGTTTAGGGTTTAGGGTTTAGGGTTTAGGGTTTAGGGTTTAGGGTTTAGGGTTTAGGGTTTAGGGTTTAGGGTATTGGAGACTGCAGGCATGGCCTGAACCCCCTGCAGCCCCCGAAACCTCAAGCCATGGCAGCCGTAGTGTCTGGTTGCAGCAGTTGGGATCACCCTTCTTCTGCCCGAAATGGCCTGATGGTCTACGGGGTTTAGGGTTTAGGGTTTAGGGTTTAGGGTTTAGGGTTTAGGGTTTAGGGTTTAGGGTTTAGGGTTTAGGGTTTAGGGTTTAGGGTTTTTAGGGTTTAGGGTTTAGGGTTTAGGGTTTAGGGTTTAGGGCCTCGGGTAGTTTAGGGCTTCGGGTGCTCGGCTCGCCGGTCCTTGGCTTCAAGGGCTTCAGGGGCTTTTGGGGGGGGGGGGGGGGTTATGGCTAATAGGGGTTTAGGGTTTAGGGTTTAGGGTTTAGGGTTTAGGGTTTAGGGTTTAGGGTTTAGGGTTTAAGATTTAGGGGCTTTGGGGGTTGTTATGGCTTGATTATAGGGGTTTAAGGTCTTGGGCTTTAGGGGCTTTAGGGGCTTTGGGGGCTTTGGGGGCTTTGGGGGCTTTGGGGGCTTTGGGGTTTGAGATTTAGGGGCTTTGGGGGTTTTATGGCTTATAGGGTTTGGGGTGTTGGGGGCGTTGGGTGCTTTAGGTGTTTTCGGGTTTAGAAAGCCACCCTGCAGCCCGAAAACGCGATAGCACCCAGAATCTGCAACGGCCCAAGCACCAAGCGACGGACCAAAACACCTCGATCTCGAAGCCAGTCGGTTAGGGTTTGAGGTTTAGGGCTTAGGGTTTCGGGTTTCGGGTTTAAGGTTTGGGGTGTTGAGTGTTTGGGTTTAGGGTCTAGTTTTCTATAAGGTTTAGGATTAGGGCTTCGGGGCACCCCGAACTCGCAAGCCGAAATCCGTGCGCATCGGGTCCCAGCGGCCACTGCACTTGAAAGCCAGGGGGCGATACGTTTCGAACCTGGGTTTAGGGTTTAGGGTTTAGGGTTTAGGGTTTAGGGTTTAGGGTTTAGGGCTTAGGGCTTAGGGCTTAGGGTTTAGGATTTCGGGCAATAAGTGTGATCGAAGGGTTTTGGGTTTGGGGTTTGGGGTTTGGGGTTTAGGGTTTAGGGCGAGAAACAATAGGAATAAGAACAGTATGAAAATGAGTAGAGTAAACAGAACAGAATGGAATGGATTGATTAACAAGGAGTAGTACAACCTGTAGGATGTAGGGGGGTTTATAGTTGAAAACCACAGACAGATAGCATGCTGCACGTGTAAACCTCTAGGCCTTATAAGTGTCAACACCCGAACCCTTGAACCAAAGAGGCTGGCTTCAGGTGTAGGGCCCTTACAACCTGCGACCAGCTCAGAAAGCCCGATTTGCACACCGCAATCCCCAAAGAAGTTGAAGTACTCCCTGAAGTGCTTGTACAATGTTGTCCAAGGTGAAACCCGACACCCTAAACCCTAAACCCTAAACCCCAAACACTAAACCCTAAATGCCCAGGCGCATGGGCTTCCAGGCCCTCTCCAGGTAATGGCCCGCCTCCGCCACGCCTTTTGGCTTGGAACCCTTAACGCCCTTAGGGTTTAGGGTTTAGAGGGTTTAGGGTTTAGGGTTTAGGGTTTAGGGCTTAGGGCTTAGGGTTTAGGGCTTAGGGTTTAGGGTTTAGGGTTTAGGGTTTAGGGTTTAGGGTTTAGGGTTTAGGGTTTAGGGTTTAGGGTTTAGGGTTTAGGGTTCAGGGTTTAGGGTTTAGGGTTTAGGGTGTAGGGTTTAGGGTTGAGGGCTTATGGGGTGTTGTAGGGTTTGCAGGGTTTGTAGGGTTTATAGGATTTGTGGGCTGTATAGGGTTTGTAGGGGTCGTCGTGTTTCTGGGGCTTATCAGGCTTTTTCTTTTTCGCCATAGGCGGGATGGGTATGGGTAACCATTAGATATGCCTGGTCTCTCACCTTCACCCACTGTGGCAGTGGCCAACGATGGTGTTTATCAGCCCCCCCCCCTCCTGTTCCATCCTGACACAACTGGCTTTTTTGGAGACAAAGATGGCCACAGAGTTTCCCTCACTTCTCCTCCCCAGGCCACGCTTCAGCATCAGGAGCTGCGGCACATCTCTCTGGTTCATCCTGACAAATATGGCCAGATCTCTACAGTGGAGGTCTCACAAATGGGCTTTCCCTTCACATCAGCGCGCTTTCCTTTCTCATCTGTGTGTCACGCAGAGCACGCATCATGGGCATCAGTGGGTGTTCCCTTCTCCTCTGGGCGCCACTGCTTGGGCTCGGAAAATGCCGCCCCCAGAGCAAGCATCATGGGCATCAGCGGGCTTTCCTTTCTCATCTGTGCGTCACGTCATGGGTATCAGTGGGTGTTCCCTTCTCCTCTGGGCGTCACTGCTCGGGCTCGGAAAATGCCGCCCCCAGAGCAGGCATCATGGCCATCAGCGGGCTTTCCTTTCTCATCTGTGCGTCGCGCATCGCACAGAGCACGCATCATGGGCATCAGTGGGTGTTCCCTTCTCCTCTGGGCGTCACTGCTCGGGCTCAGAAATGCCGCCCCCAGAGCAGGCATGGGCATCAGCGGGCTTTCCTTTCTCATCTGTGCGTCGCGCAGAGCACGCATCATGGGCATCAATGGGTGTTCCCTTCTCCTCTGGGCGTCACTGCTCGGGCTCGGAAAATGCCGCCCCCAGAGCAGGCATCATGGGCATCAGCGGGCTTTCCTTTCTCATCTGTGCGTCGCGCAGAGCACGCATCATGGGCATCAGTGGGTGTTCCCTTCTCCTCTGGGCGTCACTGCTCGGGCTCGGAAAATGCCGCCCCCAGCAGGCATCATGGGCATCAGCGGGCTTTCCTTTCCCATCTGTGCGTCGCGCAGAGCACGCATCATGGGCATCAGTGGGTGGTGATCCCTTCTCCTCTGGGCGTCACTGCTCGGGCTCGGAAAATGCCGCCCCCGGCTTTCCTTTCTCATCTGCGCGTCGCGCAGAGCACGCATCATGGGCATCAGTGGGTGGTGATCCCTTCTCCTCTGGGCGTCACTGCTCGGGCTCAGAAATGCCGCACCCAGAGCAGGCATCATGGGCATCAGCGGGCTTTCCTTTCTCATCTGTGCGTCGCACAGAGCACGCATCATGGGCATCAGTGGGTGTTCCCTTCTCCTCTGGGCGTCACTGCTCGGGCTCGGAAAATGCCGCCCCCAGAGCAGGCATCATGGGCATCAGCGGGCTTTCCCTTCTCATCTGTGCGTCGCGCAGAGCACGCATCATGGGCATCAGTGGGTGTTCCCTTCTCCTCTGGGCGTCACTGCTCGGGCTCGGAAAGTGCCGCCCCCAGCAGGCATCATGGGCATCAGCGGGCTTTCCTTTCTCATCTGTGCGTCGCGCAGAGCACGCATCATGGGCATCAGTGGGTGTTCCCTTCTCCTCTGGGCGTCACTGCTCGGGCTCGGAAAATGCCGCCCCCAGCAGGCATCATGGGCATCAGCGGGCTTTCCTTTCTCATCTGTGCGTCGCGCAGAGCACGCATCATGGGCATCAGTGGGTGTTCCCTTCTCCTCTGGGCGTCACTGCTCGGGCTCGGAAAATGCCGCCCCCAGAGCAGGCATCATGGGCATCAGCGGGCTTTCCCTTCTCATCTGTGCGTCGCGCAGAGCACGCATCATGGGCATCAGTGGGTGTTCCCTTCTCCTCTGGGCGTCACTGCTCGGGCTCGGAAAGTGCCGCCCCCAGCAGGCATCATGGGCATCAGCGGGCTTTCCTTTCTCATCTGTGCGTCGCGCAGAGCACGCATCATGGGCATCAGTGGGTGTTCCCTTCTCCTCTGGGCGTCACTGCTCGGGCTCGGAAAATGCCGCCCCCAGAGCAGGCATCATGGGCATCAGCGGGCTTTCCTTTCTCATCTGTGCGTCGCGCAGAGCACGCATCATGGGCATCAGTGGGTGTTCCCTTCTCCTCTGGGCATCACTGCTCGGGCTCGGAAAGTGCCGCCCCCAGCAGGCATCATGGGCATCAGCGGGTTTTCCTTTCTCATCTGTGCATCGCGCAGAGCACGCATCATGGGCGTCAGTGGGTGGTGATCCCTTCTCCTCTGGGCGTCACTGCTTGGACTCGGAAAATGCCGCCCCCGGAGCAGGCATCATGGGCGTCAGCGGGCTTTCCTTTCTCATCTGTGCGTCACGCAGAGCACGCATCATGGGCATCAGTGGGTGTTCCCTTCTCCTCTGGGCGTCACTGCTCGGGCTCGGAAAATGCCGTCAGTGGGTGTTCCTTTCTCATCTGTGCGTCACCCAGAGCACGCATCATGGGCATCAGTGGGTTTTCTCGTCTGCTCTGGGCGTCAGCGTGTTTCGGAAAATGCAGCCCCCAAACAGGGCATCAGTAGCCTAAACGCTAAACCCAAAACCCAAAACCCCAAACCCGAAACCATAAAACCCGAAACCCGAAACCCTAAACCCTGACGCCCAGAGGAGAAAGGAAAACCCACTGATGCCCATGATGCCGGCTCTGGGTGCCCAGTATCCTGGGCACCAGTGAACCAGTGAACTGTCCTTTCTCCAGCCATGGGCGTCAGTGGGCTTCGCTTTCTCCTCTGGGCATGACCCTGAGCGCATCAGTGCAGGGTCAGGTTCGGGGCTTGGGGCCAGGCATGAAAAACGACAACCCTAAACCCTTAACCCTAAACCCGGAACCCCAAACCTAAACCCCCAAACCTAAACCTCAAACCCTAAACCATAAACCCTAGACCCCAAACGCGCAAACCCAAACCCTAAGCCCCAGACCCTAAACCCGAAACCCTAAACCCTAAACCCTCCCAAACCCCGAAACCCTGAACCGCATGTATAGCGCCTTCATGCTCTTTGGCTGTGCAGCGCAGGATCTCCATCAGGAGAGCCTCGTACATCGACTTCGGGTACCTTTGAACTCAGAGGAGCTACCGTCAACCCTCAACCCGAAACCCTAAACACTGACCCTAAATTAACCCTAAACCCTAAACCCTAAAACCTAAAACCTAAAACCTAAACCCTAAACCCTAAACCCTCTCTGCCATGTACCTGTAAACCTTAAGTGAATTTCTGAGTTTGATTTTCAGAATTCGGCCGCCTTATTTTCGGAATTCGGCCACCTTATTTTCGGAATTTGGCCGCTTTGTTTTCGGAATTTGGCCGCTGTATGTTCAGAATTTTTCTTGTTTATTTCCTCAAGAATTCTCTGGGTGGGAGGGTGTTGCATCAGAGCCGTAAAAATACTTTTACCAGAACACTGCTCGCTCCGAGGCTGCTGAGCCCTAACCCCTAGACCCTAAACCCCAAACCCGAAACCCTACAAGCCCAAGGCCCCTTGAGCCGGCTCTGCCAGAACACTGGGTCGCCCTAAACCCTAAACCCTCCTAAACCCTAAACCCTATACCCGAAGCCCTAAACCCTAAACCCCAAACCCTAAACCCCTGGCTTTTTTGTGTTTTGGGTTGGCTGCGGCTTTGGCATGGGGTAGTTGTCGGCTGGCGTACCTTCGTGGGGCTACGGGCTACTCGAGTTCATGTAGGGCTTCCCTCAACCCTGAAAGAAACCGATATACCCCATAGAATAGACTCTGAATAGACCCTACAAACCCTGAAAAAGTCCTATAAACCCGACAAAATAAACCCGAGATACAAACCCTAAAAAAATGATCGGGTGCGGCTAGAAGGCTGCCGGATCTTCTCTCGCGACACAGCGAAGATGGGGTTGTACAGGACGCCCGTGTGCCGCGCGTGGGAAAGGTTCCTTGGAACGCGCTGCCCAGAAATGTTTGGTTTAGGGTCTAGGATTCAAGGAACACCCCCCGCCCTCCACCCCAACCCCTCCCTACTTTAAATAGAAACACCACCAAGTGGCTTCTAGGAGAAGCTTCTTTTCCCTTTCAGTGTGGAGGGCGTTTATTCAGGCGTTCTTGTCCACATACCCCTCACCAGCCCAAAAAACCTTCAGCCCCAAACGCAGCATGCCCCTAGTCCCATCCACAGATACTCCGAACCCTAAATAAACCCTAAACCCGAAACCCTAAACCCTAAACCCTAAGCCCTAAACCCTAAACCCTAAGCCCTAAACCCTAAACCCTAAACCCTAAAACCCCATTAGCTGCGAGGCTCACCGGGATGAAATGCTGGAACCACTTGTCCAAGGGCGTGATGCTTGCGCGGCAGGCGGCGGTGTTCTGACCACCCGCATGGTTCCTCCCGAGAGTTGTCTAGGGTTTAGGGTTTAGGGTCTGGGTTTAGGGTTTAGGGTTTCGGGTTTCGGGTGTAGAGTTTAGGTTTAGGGTTTAGGGTTTAGGGCTTAGGGTTTAGGGTTTGGGTTCAGGGTTTAGGGTTTAGGGTTTAGGGTTTAGGGGGTCGTACTTATATGGTTTTGTTTCGCTTGTGTTTGAGAGCTTGCTTTCAACATGTTTCTCTTGTATATGTACGGAATCCCTCAAGAAACGGGAAAATGCCTGGTGTGGGCCCAACATCCGTCAACAGAATGCCCCTCACAGGAGAGCCCCGGCCGTAGTTTCTTTCTGACCTGTCTTGGATTGCTGTTCCAAATCCCCAAAGGGAGGGACCCCATTCTCTTTCAAAGTGGCCCTATATAGACCCTGAACCCTAAACCCTAAACCTCGGTTGCATAAACCGGCATCCTGTCACAATCCTGTCATGAGCCGTCTCTAGACACTCCCTTCAAGGCCGGAAGTTATGTTCTGACACCTACCCTAAACCCTAAACCCTAAACCCTAAACCCTGAACCCTAAGCCCTACAGCTTGGGGATGTCCCCCGCTTGCACTCTAACAGTCTCAAGACCTGCAAGGCGCAAGCTGTAAGAGATCCGATCTCTGCAGTCTTAGGGTTTAGGGTTTAGGGTTTAGGGTTTAGGGTTTAGGGTTTAGGGTCTAGGGTCTAGGGTCTAGGGTTTAGGGTTTAGGGTTTAGGGTTTAGGGTTTAGGGTTTAGGGTTTAGGGAAAAGCCCACCAAGGCATGTCCCCCAAAAGTCAGGCATACACCCAAATCCCTGCCATTCCTTATGTCTAAACCCTAAACCCTAAACCCTAAACCCTAAACCCCAAACCCCAAACCCTAAACCCTAAACCCTAAACCCTAAACCCTAAACCCTAACCCCCCCCCCCCCCCAAAAGGACGCCTGTACGACTTCAGCTGAAAGTAGCCCTCGAACTCCATGAAGGAATCTGGGGCTTGATGCGCCATGGTCACCTGACTTCTTCAACTAGGCTTTAGGGTTTAGGGTTTAGGGTTTAGGGTTGAGGGTTTAGGGTTTAGGGTTTAGCGTGTAGGGTTTAGGGTTTAGGGTTTAGGGTTTAGGGCTTAGGGCTTAGGGTTTGGGGTTTGGAGTTTGGGGTTTAGGGGTTTGGGCTTTGGGGTTTGGGGCTTGGGGTTAAGGCGTTGACAGTTTGGCTGAAGGCTCCAAGAATGCAAAGCTGCCAAATTCCAAACACAACCCTGAACCCAAACCCCCGAACGCCCCTGCTACAGTATGTCAAGCCCGAACATGCTCCGAGGTGCGCAAGGCACCTGTTGCAATCTCGAATGTTCATGTACCCTAAACCCTAAACCCTAAACCCTAAACCCTAAACCCTAAACCCTAAACCCTAAACCCCTCTCAAGATGCCCCCTTCCAGGCTGAGTCGCAAAGCCTGAAAAGCTGTGGCGCTTCTCCGGGGTGTCGATCTGGCTCAGGACAAAGTTCCTTGAACCCTCTTTAGGGTTTAGGGTTTAGGGTTTAGGGTTTAGAGGGTTTAGGGTTTAGGGTTTAGGGTTTAGGGTTTAGGGTTTAGGGTTTAGGGTTTAGGGTTTAGGGTTTGGTAAATCCCAAACCCAAAACCTTCTACTACCCTCCACCCCCCCCCCCCCAAAAAAAAAAAAAAAGAAAAGGATAGCCAATATCTCGGTACCCTAAACCCGAAACCCTAACCCCCCACCCCTCAAAAAAAAAAACTAAACCCTAAACCCTAACCCTAAACCCTAAACCCTAAACCCTAAACCCTAAACCCTAAACCCAACATCTCCGTCATTCTGCCAAGGGGCAGCTTCCGGCACTTCAGCCAATACCTCGCAGCGAAGCCCCCATCGGTCCCTACTTTGGGGGCGCCTGAAAACCCACCAGAGTTGAGGGATCCATAGGGTTTAGAGCTTAGGGTTTAGGGTTTAGGGTTTAGGGTTTAGGGCTTGGGGTTTAGGGTTTAGGGTTTAGGGTTTAGGGTTTAGGGTTTAGGATTTGGGGTTTAGGGTTTAGGGTTTAGGGTTTAGGGTTTAGGGTTTAGGGTTTAGGGTTTAGGGTTTAGGGTTTTTAGGGTTTAGGGTTTGGTTTAGGGTTTAGGATTTAGGGTTTAGGGTTTCGGGTTTTGGGTTTTGGGTTTTAGGTTTAGGGCTCAGGGTTTAGGGTTCAGGGTTGGTTTGAGGTTTTGGGTTGCGGGTTGAGGGATTGGGGTCCAGGGCTTAGAGTCGAGGGTTGAGGGTTCAGTGAGTCCCTCCGAAGACGATCAACACACAGGATCCTCTTGTGGTTTTACCCGGTTTGACGTTGGTTTAGGGTTCGGACTCAGGATAGGAAACATAGGATTCCTCTGAACCCTAAACCCTAAACCCTAAACCCTAAACCCTAAACCCTAAACCCTAAACCCTAAACCCTAAACCCTAAACCCTAAACCCTAAACCCTAAACCCTAAACCCTAAACCCTAAACCCTAAACCCTAAACCCTAAACCCTATCCCTAAACCCTAAACCCTGACCTAGTGTCCGTGTCGTTATCAACGCATTCTTGCAGTGAGCTAAAGCACCGAAACCTCCAACCCTGTCAACCCGCAACCCTGGCACTGCAACCCCAAGAAGACCCCGAACCCCGGAAACTGTGGGTTTAGGGTTTAGGAAGCCACAGGTTTATAGGGTTATAGGGTTATAGGGTTATGGGTTATAGGGTTACAGGGTTACAGGGTTCTCGGGTTATAGGGTTATAGGGTTATAGGGTTATAGGGTTATAGGGTTATAGGGTTATAGGGTTATAGGGTTATATAACAAAAATTAGGGTAGGGTTTCCAGGGTTCATGGGGTTTAGGGTTTCCTGATCAGGCCCGAGGGCCAATCTTGGTTGTAGATGCTGCCCAGCGTGAAGACCGTGATGGGGGCCAGCTCGTCGTAGAAGTGAGTGATGTGGGTCAGGTAGGCATACTCCTCACAGTCAGCAGGAAACCACGCCAATCTACCTCAAGACCCATACTCTGGGGCACCCGAAACCCGAACACCCGAACCCAAAAATACGAAACCCGAACAAGGCCCAAGTGCGAAGTGATCGAAGCGCCGGCAGTTTCGGGCATCCTGAGCTACAAGAAAAAGCACGATGTAGCCAGCAACACAGCTGCCGTTAGCCTGACATGGCCGGGCCGAAGATAGCTTGACAGCATGCCCGCCTTGTTTGTGACAGTAGCCAAAAAATGGCCTGTCATGCATACCCTAAACCCTGAGCCCTAAACCCTAAACCCTAGACCCTAGGCCCGAGACCCTAAACCCTAAACAACCCTAACTAAACCACCACATAGAAGCCTTCAGACCTCCCAAGCAGCCCTAGAAGCTAAGATGAGATCAAAGGCCCCCCCACAACCCCACCCTCGAACCGCAGTAAAGCTCAGGAAGCATTTAGGGTTTAGGGCTTAGGGTTTAGGGTTTGGGGTTTAGGGTTCAGGGTCTTTCGGGTTTAGGGCCTTGCGGGTTTAGTGTCTTTCGGGTTTAGGGTTTCGGGTCTAGGGTCTTTCGAGTTTGGAGCTTGAAGAGGGGTGGGTGCCTGCGGTTTTAAGGCTTTGGTCGGTCCTAAATTAAGGTCAGGGATGGTGTTCAGAAACTGCGAAGATATCTTTGGGCTTCATGAAGAGGTGTCAGAGTCGAGAATACGCTTCAGTGTTCAGGTTTCAGGTTCAGATTTCAGGGTTTAAGGTTTAGGGTTTAGGGTTTAGGCTTCAGGGGATCTAGGGTCTGGAGAGGTAGGAAGTCCTCAGGTTCGAAACGCTGGGGGTGGTTCAGGATTGGGCCTAACCCCTTTGACGCCAGAATCCGAAGCCCTTAACTTCAAACCCTATAACCCCTGGGCCTTGTCCGCAACCCCTAAACGCTAAACCCTGAACCCTAAACCCTAGACCCCTAAGCCCCCTAAACCCATCACGGCCCCACCTCGCCACCATAGTTGTCGATGCGCAGGCATCTTGGGTCCTGGATCTTCGGCCCTTTGCCTGAGCTTTTGGTAGAGTCCTATATGAAAATGATACAGGGCCTAGGATGTTTAGGGTAGTTTGGGGTTTAAGGTCTAAACCCTAAACCCTAAACCCTAAACCCTAAACCCTAAACCCTAAACCCTAAACCCTAAACCCTAAACCCTAGGGCTTAGGGTTACGTAGGACAGAGGTTAGGCTGGTTTCGGGTCCCGGGCGCCCTTTTGCAGTGTTTGATCAGGTATATCTAGGAGCACAAGAAGCCCTCCAAAAACACCTAAGAAGAGAAAAGGAATAGTTGACGAAGTTTTCTTGGATCTTGCCCTCTACATGAATGCTAAACCCTGAACCCGAAACCCTAAACCCCAAGCCCTAAACCCTAAACCCCAAACCCTAAACCCTAAACCCTAAACCCTAAGCCCTATTGCTGCAAGCTGCAATACAGCCTAAGCTCTGCTCCAGGGTTGACACGCTCCAGCATGGGCTCGACCCAACTCCTCGGCTTGACTGCGGTCCTTTATTTGGGAACCTTGATAGGGTTTAGGGTTTAGGGCTAGGGTTTAGGGTTAGGGTTTAGGGTTTAGGGTTTAGGGTTTTAGGGTTTAGGGTTTATGGTGTAGGGTTTATGGCGGGGTTCAGGGTTCAGGGTCCAGGCTTTAGGGTTTGAGGGGGGTCAGGGGGTCAGGGGGTTTCAGCGAGGGTTCATGGTTTTGGCTATTAGGGCTTAATTAGGGTTTGGGGGTGCGGTGGTGCAGTCATACAAAGCTGGCCACTCAGGGTTTAGGGTTCTTGGTTTAGCCGACAACAAGTATTTACAAGCCCTAAACACAAACCAAGGGAAAATACTAACAATGTCCCGAGGTTCTTCCGGTCTAAAGCCCAAAAAGAAAATTGCATACAATATGCGTAAGCGTTTCAAAGAACAGCATAAACTGCGTAAATAGCATAAGATAGCATAACATAGCTTAAAGTAGCATAAAATTAGTAAAGTAGCAGAAGATGGCAGAAAATAGCGGAACATCGCATGAAATTGCATGAACAGGCCATGAACTAGCATGAACGAGCCTTGAGAAGCATGAAGCAGCATTAGGGCAGCACTAAAATGGCTCTGAGCGGGCACAGCGTTTGCAGCATTTTAGGGTTTAGGGTTTGAGGTTTAGGGTTTAGGGTTTAGGGTTTAGGGTTTAGGGTTTAGGGTTTAGGGTTTAGGGTTTAGGGTTTAGGGTTTAGGGTTCGTCTCTTGTTGGTTCAGGCTTGTTTTCTCGGATGTCCTCCTCCATGCCCTACACCCTGCGGCTAAGGGTTTAGGGTTTAGGGATCAGGGCTTAGGGCTTAGGGTTTAGGGTTTAGGGTTTGGGATTTAGGGTTTAGGGTTTAGGGTTTAGGGTTTAGGGTTTAGGGTTTAGGGTTTAGGGTTTAGGCTTTAGGGTTTAGGCTTTAGGGTAACACCCGACCAGACAGAAGAGAGGCCAAGAAGCAGGTTTTCTGAGAAGGCGGCCACTACGAGATCGATGTCATGAGAGCTCTGCCTGACAGGGCTGTCTGCCCAGGTTTGGGGTTCAGAGAGTAGAGGGTTTAGGGTTTAGGGTTTAGGGTTTAGGGTTTAGGGTTTAGGGTTAGGGTTTAGGGGGTTTAGGGTTTAGGGGGTTTAGGGTTTCGGGGGCGTTGCAAAATTGATGCCTTCTTGAAAGCCGCCTGCACCTAGAATTCACGCGATGTCTAGTTGCCTGCGACAGTTCTTTGTGATTCCCATCTTTGTTTCGACATGCTGTTTTTTCGACGGAATCGCGCTACACGATTCCATTGCGGTTTTGGGTGTTTGGGGGCATGCCGGTCGTTTTTCTTTTTCTGGAGGGATGAATCGGGGGTGGGGGGTTGGGTAACCCTAAACCCCAAACACAAAACCCTAAACCCCAAACCCCAGACCCCAAACCCTAAACCCTAAACCCTAAACTCTAAACCCTAAACCGGGCACACCTGGGACTGCCGGAC